AAATAACTTTTGTGGTTGAATTCCCATGTACTGTTAAATAGGTTTCCATCACATTTTTAACTCTACTGATGGTATTTGTCACAAAAAATGTTGCATTATATATTGAATGTGCCTACTCTGGTCTTTGGCAAGTGGCGTGTGCTCTAGCCAACTGCTCGCAGATACAGTGTGGTTATAGCCTACATGATGAGATCATTGTGGACAAAATAGATTTATTTTAATTTGTCAAACGTCAGCCAAGCATCGATCATCATGTCACCAGAATAAGACCCTCGATATTTATTGGAAAGGAATATCAAGCTCATCACCTTGCACTTTCACCACGCTGTGAGGTTAATCATAACTTATGCTTTCCCGAGTCGTAGTGGGAGGACTGCATAAAAGCGTTTCCACCGCAATTTCTCACATAATTAATTTTACCGACACAAACATTTGCTGTTTCCATCAGGCCTATCGTCAAATGTTTTATCCAACGTACTTTACTCTCATGAAGAGGTTATATGGAAACCTGGCTACTGTGTGTGTGCCATTTCAGAGGGTGAATGGGCAAGACAAAATATTTAAGTACCTTTTGAACGGGGTATGGTAGTAGGTGCCAGGCGCACCGGTTTGAGTGTCAAGAACTGCAATGTGCTGGGATTTTCATGCTCATCAGTTTCCCGTGTGTATCAAGAATGGTCCACCACCCAAAGGACATCCAGCCAACTTAACACAACTGTGGGAAGCATTGGAGTCAAATGGGCCAGCATCCCTGTGGAACGCTTTCGACACCTTGTAGAGTCCATGCCCCGACAAATTGAGGCTGTTCTGAGGGCAAAAGGGAATATTAAGGTTTTCCTAATGTTTTGTACACTCAGTGTATATTGATCACACAGCACCGAATGTTCTGTAAACACCAGCATGGGAGGCTTGTAGGAAATAACATAAGCTGAGAATCACAGTGTCACAGATACATTATCAGTGTGCCCTCTGCTCAGTCTGGCGTCAAACTGTAACCATAACATTCAACACTGGCAGACATTTGATACTGGCAGTTTTAAACAGGTCAAAGGTAAGAACATCAGTACTTAGCTACAACAGATGATTGTAGACTAACAAGTGAAAAGTACTTAACCAAAGTACTTAACCATGTACGTTTAAGTACCATATTTAATTAACTACTGTTTATATCAATCCTGTTACATTCCCCAGCAAGAAAACCAAAATTGTCACTCAAACATAAGGGGGAACTAACAAAGTCACTGACAACAACCAAAACGAAACGGTGGGGTGTTGGGAGGGGTTCAGAAAGACACTCAAGGGGGTGTCCACTGAAAGTTCACTAGGAACAACAACTGGAACCTAAAAGACACCCACCATGAGCGCCCACTATATTTGCCCAAGAAGAGGCAAACAAAATAAAAACCCACACCAAACTTAGACAGGAAGCAAACCAAAATGGTGGCGCAAAACTAAAACAGGAATGTGTTTCTAGAAATCAAATAGGGAGAGCCAACTAAAGGTGTTGACCCTCCACATTGCTCAAGACAACTGGAGCACTGGGCCAGCCACTCTTAAATGGCCTGAGGTTTCGAGCAGGACTCCCTGCCTGTTTAATCCTACCTCTGACACCAATGGAATGAAACAAGCAGAGAGTGCGGCTCGAACCCTCAACCTTCCGGCTCGAAGCCCAGCGCGCCATCGACTATGCCACAAAAGCATGCTCCAGTGGCAGAGTCAATATCCATGCTTAAACCCAGGGTCGCTACCATATACAGTGCATTCGGAAAGTAATCAGACCCCTTGATTTTTTTCTCTCAACATTTTCTTACGTTACAGCCTTATTCTAAAATTGATTAAATAAATAAAAAATCCTCATCAATCTACACACAATACCCCATAATGACAAAGTGAAAACAGGTGTTTAGAAATGTTTGCAAATGTATTAAAAATAAAAACCGATACCTTATTTACATAAGTATTCAGACGCTTTGCTAAGAGAGCTCAGGTGCATCCTGTTTCCATTGATTATCCTTGTTTCTACAACTTGATTGGAGTGCACCTGTGGTAAATTCAATTGATTGGACATGATTTGGAAAGGCACACACCTGTCTATATAAGGTCCCACAGATGAGAGTGCATGTCAGAGCAAAAACTAAGCCATGAGGTGACAGGAATTGTCCGTAGAGCTCCAAGACAGGATTGTGTCGAGTCACAGATCTGGGGAAGGGTACCAAAAAATGTCTGCAGCATTGAAGGTCCCCAAGTACACAGTGGCTAACGCAATGAAATGTGGAAAAAGTCAAGAGTTCTGAATACTTTCCGAATGCACTGTATATGACATTTAGCAGACGCTTTTATCCAAAGCGACTTACTTAGTCATGCGTGCATACATCTTTTACATATGGGTGGTCCCAGGTATCGAACCCACAAGTGCCATGCTCTACCAACTGAGCAACAGAGGACCACGGATGGAAGTGGCATGTCCTATTGTAGTCCATGTTGAGGGTTCTATTGAAGTCCATGTTGAGGGTTCTATACATAGGGTGTGTTTGTAAATTCACTCTGGCTATCTACTCTGATTTCAGAGCACTCGTCTGAGTGTGCCAGAGCGCAGAATAACTGATGGATTTACGAACGCGCAACACCCGTTGAATAGGACTGGTGTCAGTAAACGTTGGCAAAACGTCGGCCAAAACGTCAGCCAGCAGTAAACATCGGCCAGCAGCACAGTTACAGTCACCAATGCTCTAGATAACATGAAAACATCCCAACTAGCTCTGCTACAGAGAGTAAAATGGTCAGTGAGGTGTTCTCTCATTTGTGTCTGGAAGTAGCTAGCAAGCTAGCCAGTTAGCTTGGGTGCTTGACTGTCGTTGTGAGGTCAGAACGCTCTGATCAACCCAACTCCTCTGAACGCTCCAACAGTAAACCGCTCTGAATTGACAAATGGGACAATCTGACAACGCTCTGAGCGCACTCTGGCACAGCGTGAATTCACAAACAGACCCATAGGTGTTCTATAGGTCTGTTTGTTTCTTCAAGGGAGGGCAGCATTGGAAGTGTGTCACTGAAGTGTTGATTTCATGGTAACATCAGAATAGCATGGCTTTTATTGTGCAGGCCTTGTTTGATGACTGAGTCATAGAGTTGGTAAAATATCAGTTACTTTGGACATTGTGTGACTCCATTTGGATTTGATTGATTGATTGGGTTTATTTTGGGTATGGAGAGGACAAGGATGCAGAGGTCTTGCGTTGGACCTAGAGGAAAACAGAATACAGGTACAAAGTTTGGCTTGTGTAAAGGAATCCTTTCCCGGTGTGTTCATCAATGGAAACGTATAGACATGTACAGTGGGGAGAACAAGTATTTGATACACTGCCGATTTTGCAGGTTTTCCTACTTACAAAGCATGTAGGGGTCTGTAATTTTTATCATAGGTACACTTCAACTGTGAGAGACGGAATCTAAAACAAAAATCCAGAAAATCACATTGTATGATTTTTAAGTAATTAATTTGCATTTTATTGCATGACATAAGTATTTGATACATCAGAAAAGCAGAAGTTAATATTTGGTACAGAAACCTTTGTTTGCAATTACAGAGATCATACGTTTCCTGTAGGTCTTGACCAGGTTTCACACACTGCAGCAGGGATTTTGGCCCACTCCTCTATACAGACCTTCTCCAGATCGTTCAGGTTTCGGGGCTGTCGCTGGGCAATACGGACTTTCAGCTCCCTCCAAAGATTTTCTATTGGGTTCAGGTCTGGAGACTTGCTAGGCCACTCCAGGACCTTGAGATGCTTCTTACGGAGCCACTCCTTAGTTGCCCTGGCTGTGTGTTTCGGGTCGTTGTCATGCTGGAAGACCCAGCCACGACCCATCTTCAATGCTCTTACTGAGGGAAGGAGGTTGTTGGCCAAGATCTCGCGATACATGGCCCCATCCATCCTCCCCTCAATACGGTGCAGTCGTCCTGTCCCCTTTGCAGAAAAGCATCCCCAAAGAATGATGTTTCCACCTCCATGTTTCACGGTTGGGATGGTGTTCTTGGGGTTGTACTCATCCTTCTTCTTCCTCCAAAAACGGCGAGTGGAGTTTAGACCAAAAAGCTCTATTTTTGTCTCATCAGACCACATGACCTTCTCCCATTCCTCCTCTGGATCATCCAGATGGTCATTGGCAAACTTCAGACGGGCCTGGACATGCGCTGGCTTGAGCAGGGGGACCTTGCGTGCGCTGCAGGATTTTAATCCATGACGGCGTAGTGTGTTACTAGTGGTTTTCTTTGAGACTGTGGTCCCAGCTCTCTTCAGGTCATTGACCAGGTCCTGCCGTGTAGTTCTGGGCTGATCCCTCACCTTCCTCATGATCATTGATGCCCCACGAGGTGAGATCTTGCATGGAGCCCCAGACCGAAGTTGATTGACCGTCATCTTGAACTTCTTCCATTTTCTAATAATTGCGCCAACAGTTGTTGCCTTCTCACCAAGCTGCTTGCCTATTGTCCTGTAGCCCATCCCAGCCTTGTGCAGGTCTACAATTGTATCCCTGATGTCCTTACACAGCTCTCTGGTCTTGGCCATTGTGGAGAGGTTGGAGTCTGTTTGATTGAGTGTGTGGACAGGTGTATTTTATACAGGTAATGAGTTCAAACAGGTGCAGTTAATACAGGTAATGAGTGGAGAACAGGAGGGCTTCTTAAAGAAAAACAGGTCTGTGAGAGCCGGAATTCTTACTGGTTGGTAGGCGATCAAATACATATGTCATGCAATAAAATGCAAATTAATTACTTAAAAATCATACAATGTGATTTTCTGGATTTTTGTTTTAGATTCCGTCTCTCACAGTTGAAGTGTACCTATGATAAAAAATTACAGACCTCTACATGCTTTGTAAGTAGGAAAACCTGAAAAATCGGCAGTGTATCAAATACTTGTTCTTCCCACTGTATATTCTTTTTGGCATGATGAGTGACCCTGACCTCTGACATGTGACCCCTGACCTTTGCCCTGTAGGGATGGAGTTCCCTGTGGACGTGTTGGGGTCAGTGAGACATGAGGAGGAGGAGCAGGCAGCGGAGGGCTACATGACCGAGCTACGATACGTCAGCCCCGACAAGGCCGAGAGCTTTACCCTGCCCAGCCACAGAATGGTAGACACCTACAGTACTACATGCACTGTTCGTTTAGTCGACTCTAACCCCATGTCTCTCTCGCTCTCCCTCAGATCCATATCAGTCTGTGTAATGTTGGTTTTGTTCCCATCTATGGAGGAGACCTGAAGCACAAGATTCTGGCCCTGTTCGCCCCAGAGGACCAGCTCACAGGTACAACACATCCCTCCCTCAGCACAGAAAACGAGTCTCTAGCCTAGCCTCTTGTTTGGATTCTAACCAGACATCATACTCATCTAACTCTCTCTCCTCCCTCTCCCTCCTCCCTCCAGCGGTAGCTCTGTTTCTGGCGGGTCAGTGGTGGTCTGTAGAGGACATCCTCAGAACCTCCGACCCCTCCAGAACCGGCCTCCTCAAGGTTCACACACTGCAACACATTCAACACAAGATGATTGTTGAGTTGACACATGGAGAAACATAAAGCTAGCACATTGAAACACACAAACACAAGGTGTCACAAAGCGACTCTGTAGAGGTAGGATATTGGGTTTGTCTGTCTGGTGTGAGGAGAGGCTCAGTCTGACGGGATGTAAGGGAGGACGCACAGGATCAACATGACTGAGATCATACTAACACACACAGACACACACTACCCTGCCATGTTTATCTACCCCATGAAATGCATAATGACATTGTTCTGAACAGAATTTCAAGCTCTGCATGTCTGGTGTGTGTGTGTGTACAGTGTGTGTGTGTGTGTGTGTCAGTTTGCCCTGCAACTGGTTCTGATTAGCATGGAACAATAGAGAAACACACAGCGTGCACATGTACACACTCACACACACACACACTGTTAGGAAGTGTGTTACGGTGGTATAAAACTAGGAGCGGTGTTCAGGGCCATGATCCAAACCCACAGTTAAACGTCAGTACTGTTCTGTTTGGCAGAGCTACAGAGCTGTAAAAACACTCACTTCAACATTTTAGTGGGAGGAGAAAGACTACTTATGCCATGTACTGAGCCAAGGCACTTCTGATTTGTGTGTGTCCTACTACAGCACATGTAGATTGAACAGAAAGGAAAGTGTGTGTGTGTGTTTCAGGTAAGAACTTCTGAGGAGAGGTGTGTGTGTGTGTTAACTTAACATTTAGTTAAGTGACAGTCTGTATCTGCGTGTGTCCCAGGTGAGGAGTCTTGGTGAGCGGATCGTCCTGTACATTCTGAACCGTATCGTGTACCGCGTGGGTGAGATGGACAAACCTGAGGTGCCCTTCCTGTGCCACGGACAGAACCACTTCGCCAAGCTCCTCTGGAAGGATGGACACGCCATCGGTTTCTACTCTGTCAAACCCAAAGGTGAGCGGTCTTTGTCTGGTCAAACTGTCAAGTTGAGCGGTCATCTTTTGGGGGGGAGGGGGGGGTAGACGGATTACTGTTATACTATTCCAGGTATTCCTTAAAGAGGTAGGGTTTCAAGTGTCTCTGGAAGGTGGTCAGTGTACAACAGTTCATTTAATCTGTTTTTATTAGATCCACATTGAGACGGGCAGATCACCAGAATGTTTTACCAAATTTTTGTTTGACTTTGAAATGTTCTCAAATCGGGGAAATGTTCCAGCAATGTATTATGAATCCAGACTTAAGTTTTGAATCCGGACTTCAGATTTGATTTCTCGCAACGTATCTTGAGTTTGATTATCCTGTGTTCATATAGCATTAATCAATCATGTATCAATCAATTATAGCATACCTTCAAGACATGAACTAACAGTAAATCTCTTCCTCTCTCTCCAGACAGCTTGTGTAATGGCTTTGTGACCCAACGCTACCAGCTGCCTGTCATGGACTCCATCTTTGTCAGGAAGTGTCATCGTGGAAACAGTCATGGCCTGCAGATGCTGGAGGACTTTGTGGACTCTTTCAAAGATGACCAGCTCGGCCTGAAGTATCCTCTCTCTCTAACCATGTATAAAGGTTAGTAGTACCCTCTCTCTCTAACCATGTATAAAGGTTAGTAGTAGTACCCTCTCTCTCTAACCATGTATAAAGGTTAGTAGTAGTACCCTCTCTCTCTAACCATGTATAAAGGTTAGTAGTAGTACCCTCTCTCTCTAACCATGTATAAAGGTTAGTAGTACCCTCTCTCTACTCATCTCTACCGTAGTCTATAACTATACAACTTTGCAACCCATAAATAAATAAATCGGTCAATCAAAGTGTACCATCTCTCTCTGAACTGCAGTGTGTGGCCAGTATCTGTGTCGGTACCCAGCTGACCAGGACCTGCTGTGGGTGGTAGAGGGAGTGGGAGGACCCTACCAGAGAGAGAGTATGGCCAGCAAGATCAAAGCACTGAAAGGTACGGACACAGTAGCTGGAGATATACAGCGATGAACTCCCATCACCATGATCTAACACCCAAGGGCCTGTCAAGGAGGATGTGACGTTATAGGACCTTCAGATAGAAATGTGTTATGTAGAACCTATATAATTGTCTGTCATGAAGAATAGTGAATTGCGACAACAGCTCTATTCATTACATTTCTATCGCTCTGGAATCCAACTGATCCATCGGGACCTTAGCAGGATGATAGCAGTCCCGATTAGCTCTGCTGTATTTGTATTTGTATTTATTATGGATCCCCATTAGCTGCTGCCAAGGCTCTTCCTGGGGTCCAGCAAAATGAAGGCAGTTATACATTTTAAAAACATTACAATACATTCATAACAGATTTCACAACATATTAAGCCCTCAGCCCTCAGGCCTCTACTCTACTACCACATATCTATAACACAAAATCCATGTGTACGTGTGTATATTACGTATGCTATCGTGTGTTTGTATGCATGTGTCTATGTTTGTGTTGCTTCCACTGTTCCATAAGGAGTATTTTTATCTGTTTTTTTACTACTTGCATCAGTTACTTGATGTTGAATAGAGTTCCATGTAGTCATGGCTCTATGTAGTACTGTGCGCCTCCCATAGTCTGTTCTTGACTTGGGGACTGTGAAGAGACCTCTGGTGGCATGTCTTGTGGGGTATGCATGGGTGTCCGAGCTGTGTGCCAGTAGTTCAGACAGCTCGGTGCATTCAACATGTCAATACCTCTCACAAATACAAGTAGTGATGAAGTCAATCTCTCCTCCACTTTGAGCCAGGAGAGATTGACATGCATATTATTAATGTTAGCTCTCTATGTACATCCAAGGGACAGCTGTGCTGCCCTTTTCTGAGCCAATTGCAATTTTCCTAACTCCCTCTTTGTGGCACTTGACCACACGACTGAACAGTAGTCCAGGTGCGACAAAACTAGGGCCTGTAGGACCTGCCTTGTTGATAGTGCTGTTAAGAATGCAGAGCAGCGCTTTATTATAGACTTCTCCCCATCCTAGATACTGTTGTATCAATATGTTTTGACCATGACAGTTTACAATCCAGGGTTACTCCAAGCAATTTAGTCTCCTCAACTTGCTAAATTCCCACATTATTCATTACAAGATTTAGTTGAGGTTTAGTAAATTATTTGTCCCAAATACAATGCTGTTAGTTTTTGAAATATTTACTTTAAAAAAACAAACATTTTAGTCATTTAGCAGACGCTCTTATCCAGAGCGACTTACAGTTAGTGAGTGCATACATTTTTTCATACTGGCCCCCCGTGGGAATCGAACCCACAACCCTGGCGTTGCAAATGCCATGCTCTACCAACTGAGCTACACAGGGCCCAACTGAGCTACACAGGCTACATTTAGGGCTAACGTATTCCTTACCAGCCATTCTGAAACGAACTGCAGCTCTTTGTTAAGTGTTGCTGTCATTTCAGTTGCTGTGGTAGCTGACGTGTAGTGTTGAGTCATCCGCATACATAGGCACACTGGCTTTACTCAAAGCCAGTGGCATGTCATTAGTAAAGATTGAAAAAAGTAAGGGGCCTAGACAGCTGCCCTGGAGAATTCCTGATTCTACCTGGATTTTGTTGGAGAATCTTCCATTAAAGAACACCCTCTGTGTTCTGTTAGACAGGTAACTCTTTATCCACAATATAGCAAGGGGTGTAAAGCCATAACACATACGTTTTTCCAGCAACAGACTCTGATCGATAATGTCAAAAGCCGCACTGAAGTCTAACAAAACAGCCCCCACAATCTTTTTATCATCAATTTCTCTCAGCCAATCATCAGTCATTTGTGTAAGTGCTGTGCTTGTTGAAAGCCCTTCCCTATAAGTTTGCTGAAAGTCTGTTGTTAATTTGTTTACTGTAAAATAGCATTGTATCTGGTCAAACGATTGTTTCCCCAAAAGTTTACTAAGGGTTGGTAACAGGCTGATTGGTTGGCTATTTGAGCCTGTTAAGGGGGCGTTACTATTCATAGGTAGGGGATTAACTTTTGCTTCCCTCCAGGCCTGAGGGCACACACTTTCTAGTAGGCTTAAATTGACGATATGGCAAATAGGACTGGCAATCTGGTCCGCTATTATCCTCAGTCATTTTCCATCCAAGTTGTCAGACCCCGGTGGCTTGTCATTGTTGATCGACAATAGTAATATTTTCAACTCTTCCACATTTACTTTACGGAATTCAAAATTACAATGCATGTTTTTCATAATTTGGTCAGATATACTTGGATGTGTAGTGTCAGCGTTTGTTGCTGGCATGTCATGCCTACATTTGCTAATCTTGCCAATGAAAAAATCATTAAAGTAGTTGGCAATATCAGTGAGTTTTGTGATGAATGAGCCATCTGATTCAATGAATGATGGAGCGGAGTTTGCCTTTTTGCCCAAAATTTCATTTAAGGTGCTCCAAAGCTTTTTACTATCATTCTTTGTCATTTATCTTTGTTTCATAGTGTAGTTTCTCCTTCTTTTCATTCAGTTTAGTCACATGATTTCTTAATTTGCAGTACGTTTGCCAATCGGTTGTTCAGCCAGACCTATTTGCCATCTCTTTTGCCTCATCCCTCTCAACCATACCATTTTTCAATTCCTCATCAATCCACAGGGATTTAACACTTTTTACAGTCATTTTCTTAATGGGTGCATGCTTATTAGTAACTGGGATAAGCAATTTCATAAATGTGTCAAGTGCAGCGTCTGGTTGCTCGTCATTACACACCACAGACCAACAAATATTCTTCACATCAAAAACATAGGAATCACTACAAAACTTATTGTGTGACCTCTTATACACAATATTAGGCCCAGCCTTTGGAACTTTGGTTTTCCTAGAAATGGCTACTATATTGTGATCACTACATCCGATGGATTTGGATACTGCTTTCAAATAAATTTCTGCAGCATTAGTAAAGATATGATCAATACATGTTGACGATTTTGTTCCTGTACTGTTTGTAACTACCCTGGTAGGTTGATTGATAACCTGAAACTTTCTCTTGAGTGGGCTGCCTGATGAAAGCCAGTCGATATTTAAATCACCCAGAAAGTATACCTCTCTATTGATATCACATATATTATCAAGCATTTCACACATAATCCAGATACTGACTGTTAGCACTTGGTGGTCTATAGCAGCTTCTCACCAGAATGGGCTTTAGGTGAGGCAGGTGAACCTGTAGCCATATTACTTCAACAGTATTTAACATGAGATCCTCTCTAAGCTTTACAGGAATGTGGTTCTGAATATAGACCGCAACACTGCCCCCGTTGGCATTTGTCTTTTTCTGTAAATGTTATAACCTTGTATTGCTACCACTGTATCATCAAATGGATTATATACAGTGAGGGAAAAAAGTATTTGATCCCCTGCTGATTTTGTATGTTTGCCCACTGACAAAGAAATGATCAGTCTATAATTTCAATGGTAGGTTTATTTGAACAGTGAGAGACAGAATAACAACAAAATAATCCAGAAAAACGCATGTCAAAAATGTTATAAATTGATTTGCATTTTAATGAGGGAAATAAGTATTTGACCCCCTCTCAATCAGAAATATTTCTGGCTACCAGGTGTCTTTTTATACAGGTAACAAGCTGAGATTAGGAGCACACTCTTAAAGGGAGTGCTCCAAATCTCAGTTTGTTACCTGTATAAAAGACACCTGTCCACAGAAGCAATCAATCAATCAGATTCCAAACTCTCCACCATGGCCAAGACCAAAGAGCTCTCCAAGGATGTCAGGGACAAGATTGTAGACATACACAAGGCTGGAATGGGCTACAAGACCATCGGCAAGCAGCTTGGTGAGAAGGTGACAACAGTTGGTGCGATTATTCGCAAATGGAAGAAACACAAAATAACTGTCAATCTCCCTCGACCATGCAAGATCTCACCTCGTGGAGTTGCAATGATCATGAGAACGGTGAGGAATCAGCCCAGAAATACACAGAAGGAGCTTGTCAATGATCTCAAGGCAGCTGGGACCATAGTCACCAAGAAAACAATTGGTAACACACTACGCCGTGAATGACTGAAATCCTGCAGCACCCGCAAGGTCCCCCTGCTCAAGAAAGCACATATACATGCCCGTCTGAAATTTGCCAATGAACATCTGAATGATTCAGAAGAGAACTGGGTGAAAGTGTTGTGGTCAGATGAGACCAAAATGGAGCTCTTTGGCATCAACTCAACTCGCCGTGTTTGGAGGAGGAGGAATGCTGCCTATGACCCCAAGAACACCATCCCCACCGTCGAACATGGAGGTGGCTTTGGGGGTGTTTTTCTGCTAAGGGGACAGGACAACTTCACCGCATCAAAGGGATGATGGACGGGGCCATGTACCGTCAAATCTTGGGTGAGAACCTCCTTCCCTCAGCCAGGGCATTGAAAATGGGTCGTGGATGGGTATTCCAGCATGACAATGACCCAAAACACACGGCCAAGGCAACAAAGGAGTGGCTCAAGAAGAAGCACATTAAGGTCCTGGAGTGGCCTAGCCAGTCTCCAGACCTTAATCCCATAGAAAATCTGTGGAGGGAGCTGAAGGTTCGAGTTGCCAAACATCAGCCTCGAAACCTTAATGACTTGGAGAAGATGTGCAAAGAGGAGTGGTCAAAATCCCTCCTGAGATGTGTGCAAACCTGGTGGCCAACTACAAGAAACGTCTGACCTCTGTGATTACCAACAAGGGTTTGCCACCAAGTACTAAGTCATGTTTTGCAGAGGGGCCAAATACTTATTTCCCTCATTAAAATGCAAATCAATTTATAACATTTTTTACATGCGTTTTTCTGGATGTTTTTGTTGTTTTTCTGTCTCTCACTGTTCAAATAAACCTACCATTAAAATGATAGACTGATCATTTCTTTGTCAGTGGGCAAACGTACAAAATCAGCTGGGGATCAAATACTTTTTTCCCTCACTGTAAGTGAGTTTCAGAGAATGTCAGAATATGAATATCATCTGTTACTAGCAAATTATTGATTTCATGAACCTTGTTTCTTAAGCTACATATGTTAACGTGGGCTATTTTTAACACTTTTCTGGGATGCTTGATTATTTTTCTTGCTTTACTGGGAAGCTTAGCAGAGGTAGACATACCCTGGTTATTTTTATTAGTGCAGGGTGTGCTGCACACAGTGGACTTCCTGCTAGGGCACACCACCTCATTGCTAACAGTATTACTCTGGTTCATAGGCATATGATTACTGAATAGAATAGCTGCAGGATCAGTCAGCAGAGGCATTCCTGGCAGAAAGGGGAACATAAATTAGGTTATTTACATTGTGTCTTCCAACGCCCCTAGGATAATGTACATTTGCTGAATCATTATGACAACTCAGCGACACAATGGTAGGGATTAAATGAGCTGGACCTGGGTCATTGATAAGTCATTGTCTCAACGCAGCCTTATAATGCTGTGAAAGGATCCAGGAACCCACATTTATTTTGGTGGATCCCATCCTCCTTATAATATGAGCTTTGTTTCCAGAAGGTATCAAAATTGTCAATAAATGTTACACCCACAGAGCTGCAATAGTCTCATAGCCAAAAAGTCTGCTGAACCGTTCAATGCCACGATTTAGGGAGGGCAGAGGGCCAGATATTATGGGGCGTTTGTTGGTGTCAAGTAGAGACCCAATCAGTTCTTTAAAATCCATCTTCAGCTGTTCTGAGCTTTCCTTCATAATGTCATTTGACCCCACATATGAACCATGACAGTATCAGCCCCTGGTGACTGACGCACAGCCTCGGGAAGCAACCTGGTGATATCCTGAACTTTTGCCCCAGGAAAACACAAAGTCTTTGCCCCAGGTACAGATATATGCCTCCCGTGTCTCGAAGCAGATTGCGAGGCCAGAGCCACAGAACTCACCTGAGAAGAGGGCTGCTGTGACGCCAGCTGCGTGCCGGCCACAACCGCCAAAGGGACAGAGCTCTGATCCAGAGAGCACTGCCCAGCGGAGGGGTGCCGCGTTGGTCCAGGCTGTGCCCAGGCAGTTGATTGACTAGGACAGGGAGAGATAGCTGGAGGGTCATCCACAGCCATGGAGGGAACACCCAAGCTCCCGGCAGAAGACAGCTGGTACAGGGGCTCAAAGCGATTTGAAAGTCTTAAGTCCGGTCGCGGGGGAAGAAGGCAGGCGCGCCAAGAACGATTCTTCTACTTCTTTCTGGTTCCGACACGCATCCATTTACGCTCACCTGGTGTCGAACAGTGAGCAGCCATTTTCTGGTTCAAGCTGGTAGAGGGGTGCAGTGGTGGAAATTGATCATAATCCAGGAAGGTCCCATTATGATCCTCTTGGATGTTTTGATAGGAAGCATTTAAATATGCCGATAGTCTCAGAATCGTTATTCAGTTCAAGGCGCATGGTCAAATTTTTTCATTTCTTCATGAAGAGTAATAATCCTTTCTTTAGCTGCATCGAGTTCAATACATTTTTCACAAATGAAGGTATCCATCTGACCTTTTCCCGTGACAACGACGAACATTTAGCATATTATACATTTAATAGCTTGCGAGTCCCCAGCAGATTCGAATGAGTTTTCACTGCTGCACGCCGACAGTCCAAGGGAACAAACATTTCCCGGCTCCGCCGGGGACTTTGATGCTCCCTCCATGGCCGCGGACGCCCCCACCAGCCCCCCGCACAACTGTGTTGTTGTCTGTCTCTCGTTGAATGTGAGAGCGAGAGAGAAGCGCAGGATGTCTGGGTCAGTTATCAGTGACAGGTCACCAACTGTTCCTTTCTACTCACCGGCACGGCTGAGTGTATGTGTTCAGTGTAGCCTCTCAGAGCTGTGTCAGGCCTGTCCCTAGTGTCTGTAGTCGTGGGGGATACAAAACATACAATTGCAGCATTTACTGGCCAACAATTGGAGTCACACTCACACGCTGGAAATAAGCACTTTCCTTTAGTAGTTCTATAGAGAGCGTTGTATGAGTTGAGCTCTTTGCAGCCTGGCTCGGTTGGTGGTATCCAGGTACTAACGTTTCCAGGGGGAAAAGTTGAATGGAAAAAGTAGAGTGAGGAATAAGATGTGGGGACTTGGTGACATCAGACAGACGGTGGCTAGACTCACATGACTGGTAGCTAATTGACTTATGATTGTTGTGCTGATTCCCATAAAGTGGTGCTCCATGCGGTGACTGCTAATGGAGACAACCAAGCAGCCTCTCTGGACAGCACAGACGTCAACATGGAAGAGGGCTCAGACAACTGTCTGGACATCACCGTATGTCTCTGTCTCTCTCTCGCTCTCTCTCTCTCTCTCTCTCTCTCTGTCTGTGTCTCTGCTGTCTCTGTCTCTTTGTGTGTGTGTGTGTATTAGCTGTCTCTGTATCTGCCGTGTCTCTCTGTCTCTCTCTCTGTGTGTCTCTCTCTCTGTATCTGCCGTGTCTCTCTGTCTCTCTCTCTGTGTGTCTCTCTCTGTATCTGCCGTGTCTCTCTGTGTGTCTCTCTCTCTGTATCTGCCGTGTCTCTCTGTCTCTCTCTCTGTGTGTCTCTCTCTGTATCTGCCGTGTCTCTCTGTGTGTCTCTCTCTCTGTATCTGCCGTGTCTCTCTGTCTCTCTCTCTCTCTCTCTGTATCTGCCGTGTCTCTCTGTTTCTCTCTCTCTCTGTATCTGCCGTGACTCTCTCTGTCTCTCTCTCTGTATCTGCCGTGTCTCTCTGTGTGTCTCTCTCTGTATCTGCCGTGTCTCTCTGTCTCTCTCTCTCTCTCTCTCTCTGTCTGTGTCTCTGCTGTCTCTGTGTGTGTGTGTGTGTGTGTGTGTGTATTAGCTGTCTCTGTATCTGCCGTGTCTCTCTGTCTCTCTCTCTGTGTGTCTCTCTCTCTGTATCTGCCGTGTCTCTCTGTCTCTCTCTCTGTGTGTCTCTCTCTCTGTATCTGCCGTGTCTCTCTGTTTCTCTCTCTCTCTGTATCTGCCGTGACTCTCTCTGTCTCTCTCTCTGTATCTGCCTTGTCTCTCTGTTTCTCTCTCTCTCTGTATCTGCCGTGACTCTCTCTGTCTCTCTCTCTGTGTCTCTCTCTCTGTATCTGCCGTGTCTCTCTGTGTGTCTCTCTCTCTGTATCTGCCGTGTCTCTCTGTGTGTCTCTCTCTCTGTATCTGCCGTGTCTCTCTGTCTCTCTCTCTCTGTCTCTCTGTCTGTATCTGCCGTGTCTCTCTGTTTCTCTCTCTCTCTGTATCTGCCGTGACTCTCTCTGTCTCTCTCTCTGTGTCTGCCGTGTCTCTCTATTTATCCAACTTTGCCTCTCACTCTTGTTTGTCTTTCTTTCCATTTGTTCTCTCTCCTCCTTTGCTTTGTGTTCTGTTTTGGGGTCTCCTCAGTCTCTCGTCTCCTGAACAGCTATTTGGATGTATTTGTTGTTGTTTATAGTTTAAGAATATCCTCAAACCTCAGATTTAAGTTCTGTAGTGTAGGGACAATATAATCAAGTAATGAGGAGTTAATATGGTATTGATGTCTTCTTGTTTTCTAGGAGGATGTTTTGGTGGTGAATAAGCCTCTCAAGTTAATAAAAGGTAAGTAGCTCAGAGAAATCTTAAGGAGCTCCATGGCATCCTGAAATGAATAACTATGAGAAAAATTTTGGCGTTTCTGAGTACATAAAATGCTATCTTTTGTGTGAATACACATTGGAATGAAAATGGCTACTCTCTCTCTCTCTAGCCATGGAGGGCACACCATTATCAACGCGTACCAGGAGTAGTGGACATAAAAAGCGTGGCAGAGAAGAGATGGAAGACTCTGAGGAGGAGAGCCTGCCTCTGAAGATGAGCAGGTTAGACAAGGAGTCTCAGTGAAATAGAAGCATCCATCAAAGTATTAATGAAATGTAAGTACGAAAGCTTCCCATTGGCTGAAAATCATAATACCTCTGGTTTACTGTGTCTTCAGATTGGAGGAGGCGGAGCCCACCACTACGGCTGTAGAGGGAGGAGAGGAGGAGGAAGGAAGAGAGGGGGGTGAGATGGAGGAGTCTGGAGAGGCAGAGGCTGCTGTGGCCCCTGTAGAGGAGGCCAAAGCTCAGGTGAGAGGATGAGGGAGGTGATTAGGATGAATACAGCATTAGAAAACAACAGTTCATTTGGCTGTTCTGGGTTGCTTGTCATCATTCTGTTATGTTACTATGGTTACTGTTAGCGAATAACCAGTCACTATCATAGCGTATTTAACACTTGTTGGGCTAGGAATCACACCCTATTCCTTATGGGCCCTGGTCAAAAGTAGTGCACTTTATAGTTAATAAGGTGCCATTTCAGACACAGCCACTGCATAGAGTGTATGGTTAATCAGTAAAAGGAGGCGTTGACCATTGGTTGTGGCTTTTCTCTCCTCAGGAGGCTGAGGAGGTGAAAGGAGAACTGACTGATGACCAGGGAGAGGAGGATGAGGAGGTGCAGGAGGGAGTGGAGGTGGAGGGAGAGGTTGCCCTACAGGAGCCCGATGCTGTGCTGGAGAACGGAACAACAGAGGAAGATGTGGAAATGAAGGAAGAAGAGGGGGAGGAGGCGAAAGAGGAAGACTCCATTGAGGCTAAAGTATGTGTTTCAGTGCCTCAGTTGGAATGTGTTAAATGGGTACATTATTGGAGCAAGGGGGTCACAGATGAGACAATTGTTGGAAAGTTCCTATTTGTACTGTGGACATGTTTCTACAGTACGTGTCAAAGAGAATTGGGGAATATGTTTTTCACCACTGCACTTTTTTCTCTCTTTTTGTCCTCTGCAGGACACCGTAGATGCAGCTTCTGTGGCATCAGAGGAATTGGCTGAGACGGAAGCTGTGGTGGAGAAGGAAGTGGAGAAGGAGGCTCCTCTCCTGTTAGTAGAAGAACCAGCCTCTGCTACAGAGAAGGCCCCCTCGCCTGCAGAGCCAGCCTCAGCAGAGTCCTCCATCTCTGGGGAGGTGAGTGAGGAGGCAGGGGGCGAACCTCCAGCACCTTCAGAGGAGGCTGCAGCTACACCAATGGAAGAAGGAGAGGAGCTAGAGGGAGAAAAGGAGGAGGAGGCGGAGAAAGCAGTGGAGGAAGACGAGAAATCCATGGAGGAGGCCAGCACAGTGGACAGCAGTAGCCAGGAAACGGTGGTCCAGGTGGGGGTAGCAGCCCTGTCCTACCAGCCTCTGGAGGAAGAAGAGAACCAGCCTCTCGCAGAGGAAGAAGGAGAGGAGGAGGCGAAGGAAGAGGTCATGGTCAAAGAGGACAAAAAGAAAGAGGTAGAAGAGATGGAGAACGTTTCAACCACAGAGGATGAGAAAGAGGAGGTGGAGAGTGAGAGCTCAGACGAGGGTGGCGAGGGTAAGGTCCTTTGGAGGAGAGGTAGCGGCAGTGGCCAAGCGGCCCCTAAACGTAAATCTAAGAGACTGAGCAGAGTGGTCATGGAGCCCGAGGAGCAGGACACAGAGCAGCCGGAGGTCACGGAGGAAGAGGAGGAGAAAGCAACAACGACGGAGGAGGAAGAGGGGGCTGTAGAGAAGAGCTTGGCTGAGGAAGTGGAGGAGGAAGAGGAGCAGCCGCCAGTGATTGACCAGAGGGCATTGAGGAGGAAGAGCCGACAGGTCCAGACTCCAAAGAAAGCCAAAGGGAAACGAAGCATCAAGATATAAACACACATCAGCAGGCGTTGCATATATAAACACACACACACACACACACACACACAAAACACATGTTTAGAGGTGTGCGGTAAGGGATGTTTTCTACCTGGTTTTAGGGTTTGTAAGGCATCTAAAGTTCACTTGTATTATCTCTGTACGAGGTTGTTTAGATGTTTACTTTAGGTCTTTTTTGTTGTACATGAATACTCAAAACTCGCTGTTGCAATAAGTCAATGTGAAGACTTTTAATGTTCAGATGTGATTTTATTATTGTTTTTACTGCCTTGTTCTTTAGGTACTGACTGAGATTGAGTTTCACAGGCCTGTTGTGGTGGTTTGAAGGTGATTTCCATGTTCTCCTATAGCCTGGTCCTACACTGGGTCTGTGGCTGTTGCATTTATACTATTTATACTATTTAAATAGTTTGGGTTGAAATGCACCTCTTAGTTCGGAGTTCTTGCAGGAGTTATTTTATAAAAAAGTAATTGAAGTTCTGTTCCAATGAAAGCCAGCGGACCCAGTTGCTCTCGAAGACCAGGTTTTGCTACACCCCCTGTTTAATGACGACCAGTAACTTGTATTAAGGAATGAAACGTTCCAAAAATACCTGGAGTTTTCTCCGTGTTGCACACCACGTAGCTGTCTTATCTCTTGGAGTGATGAGAGTATTGTTTTCGGATGTGCTGAAATACTTTTTATTTAGAAAAAGCTGTGAATGAACGTCAATTATAATATTTAGTTTGCACGGCACAGACACACACACACACATGCACACAAAAACATGTATACCCAGTAACTGAATTTTGAATAGGAAAAATAGATTTGGTCATTATTAATCTTGCCCAAGTATAATTCAAGATTATAATTTATACTTTATCTTATAATTAATAGCATGTTTAATTGCAAGTGTATTGGATATAAGCATAAAAGATGTATATTACAATAACTAGATGATAGCAGAATTCTTAAGTGAATGTAACTCTATATACCAGTGATATGTTTTATATACACAGTTGTATAATGGCACAACATTCACTGTTTAGAAACGAACATTTGCTACCCAAGTTTAGTTATTTCCCGCGTGAATTTGATGCTGTCATTGACAATGTCGGTTCACTAGTAGAGGATACATTGAGCAAAGATGTGAAGCAGAATCCATCAATGGGCTGTTGATGTACCATGGATATGGGTCAATATATAGAACGTACACTTGGGCCGTATTCAATAAGCACCAAACGGAAGAAAACAACCTTAAACAGGGAGCGACTACCTTAAAGTGTTTTTTGTTTTCCTTTACAAAACGTTTTGCGACAGTGTGCAGTGATGAATATGACCGGTGTTGAGGGATGGCATTCCCCAGTGTTTGAGATGGTTCTAGCCAGTTGCATTGACTGTAAAGGTGCTTTCCTCTGTATGGAAGGAAACCTGTTATAGATTTGGCAGATCGTGTCAATGCAACTGTTGGATGTTATCCATAGAAATAGAATATAGGGATTCCCCTTTCTATAAATTATATTTCTATGATGTAAACTTCCTTGATTTCAGAATGACAAACTCTTTCACAGATGGTGTTTTTAGTGGATGAGTTGGGTGTCTCCCTACTACCCAATATCAGTAAAGCTGCCACTATTTATCCATTGTTAGTCTATTGCCTGTATAACATATTTGTAAAAGGCAAAGTATATCTCTATTAGTATGACTGCTGTTTGTTAGCTATAGCTGTGTCCAGGCAGGTCATGTAAAATACTAAAAAGAAGCTACATCGTAAAACACCTGGTGGATCTCAATAGTCTACAGGGGTTTCCTCTCCTTCATCTGCACTGATCTGAAAACTAGGGATAAGTTAAAGCAATATGGCAGAAACCTACCTGGGGATTTTCCAGATCAGTGCAGGTGAAGGAAGGAGACGAGAAGAGGATGCCACTCTAGACTGTTGAGATGCACCCCATGTGTTGATTGTGTAAATACCAGTTGTTTCAACCACTACTACACTTGTGGGTTGATTCCTTTACGTATATTGCTATCATCTACCTGCTGATACTCTGACCCTGGTCCCCCTAAATGTGAATAAAGGCTTATTATGATGTCTTAACTCAGATATATGGAATGTTACACAGCCATGTTAGTTCTGGTTGTTTTCTGTTTGAATGTGTTCTGGATATAAGGAAACAGCAGAGGGAGCCAGAGGAGGAGTCATTGAGCTGCATTTAGTATAGAATGGCCTGGATTACCGTTTTTCAGATCTTGGTGGTGCTCACATTCTGCCTCAGTTGGCTGCTGTGGTCCCACGGTCTTCTGTGTCTATGGTGGTTTTATACAGGCTTCCTAGATATCTGTCTGACTGGGTTTGTGCTGGGGCGAGCTGAAAACTAAGGCTGGCTTACCCCAGGGCTGTGTTCAGTGGGGTGCGATGTTACAGAAGGTTAAGATTGAAAGATATTATGTTAGCTGGGTATAAGACACGCCTGTCTGCAATGTTCAGAATGTGGCATCTTCCTGAACGTACCCTTATACTCTAAATCTTATTGACCTCATTCACAACCAATAGCCAGAATATGGCAGGCTTTAGTCTGGCTGCGTTCCAAATGGAAAATTATTCCCTATATAGTGCACTATAAAGGGAACAGGGTGCCATTTAGGATACACTTATGTTTGTTCTGTTGAATGTTTTCAGTGATCAGTTTGTGGTTGGAGAGATGGACAGTTTGTGTTGACACCAATGTTAGTCACGTCTGCTATGGGAGTGGTTTCGTATCAGGGTCTGATTCAGTATGAGAACTTATGCACTCACTAACTGTAAGTTGCTCTGGATAACAGATAACAGCGTCTGCTAAATTACTAAACATTTGAAAAAATCAGGGACTGCTTCGGTTTAAAATCAGTCAATTCAGGAGAAGAATCGAAATGAAATTAATGAATGGAATGTTTATTTTCCTATGATTTCAAAAGAAAGAAAAATGTGTGCTTTTTTGAATGATCCCTGTCTATGCAAGGGACCTTTTTCTCCAGTGAGTTTTATTTTTTAACTAATTTAGATTTAAACTAATTCCTGCATCTTGTCACTTTGACATAATCTGCCTCTTGTGATGTTACTGGGCCATTACTATTGGTTTCTCAGCTGTTTTAGTATGGACTACTGTTTATCTTATTATTAATATATCTTATCTTTCAATCTACGATTTCCTTGTAGTTAATAAAAAAACGTATTTTTTTCTGAGATTACACTTTTGTATTTATTTGGTGTGTATCTAGCAGCCTGAGTGGACCTCAGCCTTACCTTTCCCCCTTCCTCCTTACTTTTTTAGCTTATTTTATTATATCAGTGTAATGGCTGGAATGGAATTAATGGAACCGAGTCAAACGTTGGTTTCCATATGTTTGATCTGTTTGACTCCGTTCCATTTATTCCATCTCAGCCATTACACTGAGCCCATCATCCTATAGCTCCTCCCACCTCCTTCCACTGATTTTATTATATCTGTATATCAAGTAAACCTTGTAGAAAGGCGCGCGTGTGTACAAATCTGTGTGTGGCGGCTCCAGATCTGCCTTGTGCCTCCAACGCTACAGGGACATCTCTCTAGGTGATCTCAACTCCGCTGCCTCTCCACACAGCCTGTCATATTCCCCATTGGAGAATAGCCTTCTGTCTGTGTGTGTTTGCCATCAGATAAGCCCAGCAGAGCCTTATCGTCAGCTGTCTAGAGTGCCGCAACGAGAGGGATGTGCGTGTGTGTGCGCGAGCCAGGCTGCAGGTCTTCTATGTAGCCGTTTGTTCTGTTTATGTGTTCCTGCCTCGCCTCGCCTATCCTCTACCCCTCTTCCCTCTCTCCCAGCCTCTCTCTCTCCATTGAAGGTGTGGTGTGTATAATTGATGGTACCATATTGCTGTGGTGTAGCTGGTTTAATGGGGCTTGACACAGCAAGGGAAAGCTGCATGCAGCCAGGGAGGGGACTTAACCCTTTCACCTACCCCTCTGTACACACACACATACCCAGACGTATACACACAGTATATACACACATATACTCACTCACACACACACACACATACACAGGCACCCATGATGGTAGTGACATCAATGTGTTGATTACTAATACTGTTATCAGTGGACAGAAAAATATAGAGGCCCCCCACTCTTTCTGACTCGAAGGGAACACCGATAGTTTTAGCAAGGCAGCGTTAGCTATTGCCTACTGTTTTGCTCGACTGAGTCTGTGTCTGACAAAGGTAAATGACTAGCGGTGTTTCCCAACCCGCTGTGAGGGTCTCAGCTGTAGTTCCTGCTCTGACCAGAAGGGGCCAGTATAGTTCCAATGTCCCACAACACAGCCCATTGGTTACTTAGCTTGGCTTCCCTCAGGCATCCACTCTGGCATTCAATGTGCTTATTTTGTTTTGTGTGGATTTCTCTGGCCTAGGACACACACGTGCATGCACCATTAATCAATTGAGGCAATACAATTATGCTATTGTGTGAGACAAGGAAACAGAGCTTTGGAGAATGAGTGAGTCAAAACTAGGATCATGAATGTCTGTGCACACACACGCTCTTTCTCTCGTACGCTCTCTCTCTCCTAACTGTTCCCAGGTGACAGAGAGACTAGGCAGAGGCACTATTTTAAGAGCTGCTATCACACCACTCCTGTTTTACCCCCATCACCTACTTTCTCTCTTCTGTCTGGTGGATATATTTTTTTTGCCTTCTCTCTTTACCATCCTCGCTTGCTCTCTCCCTCTCCCTCCCTGGTATTGTTCTCACCACTGTGCTGTTTATTCTTTGTCCACATCTTCTCTGTAGGTTTTTTCTCTCTCTCTCTCTCTCTCTCTCTCTCTCTAACGCCCTCCTTCCCCTCTCTAACGCCCTCCTTCCCCTCTCTAACGCCCTCCTTGCCAGGCAGCCAGTAGATTGGCTGCTTCCTGCACGTGCCAAGTAGAGCTCTTATCAGTGAGTGAGTGCTGATTGTTGCGCTGTCTCTCATTGTGACTGGCAGTTCAGGCTCGCAC